TTGCCGGGTGTGGAGGCGAAATGACCCGGTCGACGCCGTGGAGGGCGGCGGGACAGACATCGGAGTGGCGGCGGAGAGCGCTTACCTCTGGCCGCGGCCTGGGGATGCCATTCCCCTGTGTGCCGTGGCGGCGCGCGGCCCAGCACGCCGCGGGGCTCCGCACACGGGTTGAGGGGACGCAGTTGAGCCTTCCACGTGTGGCTACCGCGGTGGCCGGCGGTAGTGCCGTCAGGCAAGACGGGAGGCGGCCCAGCGGCGGCGGCAGCGTCAGCGCTTCACCGCCCCGGCCGCGCTCGATGACAGGGGGCGAGGGCGTGCGTCGCGTCAGTTGTCCCGACGATAAGCATCACCCCCACCCCCACCCCCACCCAAAGGCGTCAACCTCACGATGTTGCCGACGACGACGACGACGACGACGACGACGACGACGACGACGACGACGACGACGCGGACTCCACTGGCTCGTGGCTTGTGATGCACTCGAATCGTTGCAGCGCCACCGGAACATTTTTTGGTCCCACAACCTCTTGCACCGGGCGGCTCATCACAAAGGCCGCGGCACCGTCGACGGGTTTGTCGTCGGGGCCCGCGGCTGCAGGCAGCGCCCAAAACTTTGCATTGCCCTTTGCGCTGGCCATCTCTGCCCCGCCCAACGCCGGCCATGACACAAACTACCGGGAATCGCAGTCGACAGAGCAGTTTGCGGCCACCGCGGAGGTGGTGTTGGCGGGGCAAGCCGCCTTTGCAGAGGAGCTTCTCGCGAGACTCGACTTTTGGTGCGCCCGGGGGCAGCCGCGCCGCCGCTACTATAACCCGGCCCTGAGTGACGGGTCTCAAGCCGCGACGATGAGTCCGACGGTTGAGGCGGAAACGGGGGCGAGTGACGCCTTTGCGGCTCCAAACACGACCAGCTCTGATTTGAAAGGGGAGATGCCGTTGAAGCTGCTCTTTACGCAGGTTGGAGTGATCCAGTTTCGGCCGGTGGAGGCCGCCGTGTACCGCTACGGCAAAGATCAGCATCTTCTTCTTGAGGCCCTTGCTGATGCCACTGAGGTCGTCATCTGCTCCGTGCGTGAGCGTTCCCCGCGGTGTGGCCGGCACGACCGCGCCGGTGGAGGAGCGCAGTCGCAGCTGAACGGGGATTCCGCCTTCGACGACTCCACCCAGTCCGACAACGACGACGACGACGACGACGACAAGGACCTGTTCTTCTGGGGGCGCTACGAAGACGTGGCCATGGCGGCTTCCGTGCGCTGGGCGCAAGGCGAGGCGGAGGCGGAGGCGGACGGCAACGATGCCTCAGCGACGGGGCATGCGCCAACTTTTCGCCAGGCGGCGCGCCGCTCGCTTTCCACGCGTGAGAGGCACCAACGGAGGAATGAGCGACTAAAGATGGAGTTTTACTTGGCGCAATCCCAACGCCTTGATGCCATCCTCGTGGACCATCGGACAGCCAACCCGATCGCGGCGTTGGTCCTGCTTCAGACGAAGCGACGACCGCATGCCGCGAGGGCGGGAGCGCCTATTGTGCAGGAGACCGCCTTCATTGTGCATTCCTTCAGCCACTACGTTGTGCCACTGCTGCGGCACCTGCGGGAGGAAAAGGTGTTGATGGTTGACATGGATCGCACGCTCGTGGATAACGCCATTCTTGCCGGGGAGGGGCTTACGTACATGCCGAGGCCGCAGGGGAACGGAACAGCGGGGGAAGACCAGCTCCACTTTGAGTTGCGGAAGGAGGTGGAATACATCGCCGCGGGCGCAACGTGCCAGGGAGTACGCACCGAGACGATTTACGTGCGTCCTGGGGTGCGGCAGCTGCTGCGGTGCTTTGCCGTTGAATGGGGCATCCCTGTCGTGCTCGTGACGAAGTCCTCGCGCCGGCGCACGGAGGCCATTCTGTCGCAGGCACTAGACCCAACTGGGGAGTTATTTCCGCCCGGGCGTGGCCGCATCTTTGCGGCGGAGTTGTTGCTGCGTGCGGCGGCTGGGAAGGCGTCTTCTGGTGAGGCTCCTCCTTTGTCAGCCCCGCCGCCTGACTTGAGCGGCGAGGAGATTGACAGGTGGCAGTCGCAGGAAAGCCTTGTGCAGGCGCGGAAGTGTACCACGGCGGTGCTGCAGGAGTTGGAGCGAGTCTCCACGCACGGGCAGGGACCAGCCCGTTCGCCTCCCAGGGCGAGGACGGTGGCGGTGCTGGACGACGCCCCACAGGTGTGGGTGGAGGCGGATTGGCCCTGCACCGTCGCGGTTGCCCCGTACACGCTGGACCGTGTGGACCCGCAGGACTACTTTACACCGAGTGGCCTGGTGGCATCCCTGTTATTGTCGCAGCTGTACAGGGGCAGGTGCGTGCGGCGCCCCACGCCATACTCTGAGGAGGACGAGCGCCAGCGGAGCTCGGGTGCGGTAAGGCAGGGAGGCTGTGGCGGCGCGTCCGGCCCCGTACCGGACTCCCGCTTCGCACCACTGAGAAACTCAGTTGTGGACGACGACAACGCTGATGACGTTGCCACGGTCAGCCGGAGGAGTGCGCTGGAGATGCCTTGCGCCGGACGCCTCAGCCTACCAGCGGATCGAGACCCCTCCGCTGCGCCCTCGCCAAACAACGACGCCCCCGCAACGGATGAGATGCTGCGTGCAGAGGAGGCTGTGGTGGAGGAGTTCCATGAGTGGCGTGAACGCAGCCGTTGGGCCACCGCGGACGTGGAGGATGTGACGCCGCTTTAGGAGCACGCCGCGGCGCCCGCCCGCCCGCTCGCAGCGGTGCTGGCTGCAGTAGGCGCCGGAGAAGGAGCGTCGGGTGTGTGGAACACGTTTGCATCTCTTTCTATATATCTATGCAAGTCTCTGCGCACGTGCCATTTGTCTTTCTTTCTTTCTTTTCGGCATCTTTGTGCATGCGCGTGTTTTTTTGTTTTTAAAATTCATTTCCCGAAACTGCGGCGGGTCTTGCTCGGGCCTATGCCCGAACGACCGCCGTGGCCTTCGCTGTTTCCCCTGCGCCCCTCCTCGCCTCCCGGTTTTTCCCCCTCTTTTGGGTGCCGCCGCACCAATCGCCCTCATATATATATATATATATGTTCTTTTTCTTCGTTTTTGCTCTCGCCGCCTCCCACGATGAACCTGCAGCGTATCACAGGGTGGGAAGGCTGCGTCGGAGCCCGCAGCCCCCCCACACGGAACGGGGGCGAAGGGAAACGGGGAGGAGGCAGTGCGCGGGGGCCATGAAAAACCCGTACGAGCTGCCGGAGGAGGTGCGGTGGTACCAAACGCTGTGGGACATGCGCAACAGGGAGTTCCGCACCACCTTCCTGAAGAGCAAGCGCCGCCAGTGGCGCCTGTTTTGGAAGTACGAAAGCCACCTCGTCTACGAGCGCGTCATCATGGGCTTCATCGTGGCGACGGGCCTGTTTTTGATGAGCAACGCGGACCTGACGGTGGCGCTGTTTCGCCTGCCCACCGAGGACGTCAACGAGCTGCTTAAGCAGGACGTCTGGAGGAAGTATAGGAACGAGGTCAACGAAAGGAAGGAGCACGCAAGCAAGATGCTCGAGGAGTCTAGCTACATGCAGAACAAGAACAAACCCCCCGCCTCCTAGCAAGCAGTCGCTGCAAATGCCGTGGAGGGCCCGGGGAACTCGCGGCGGTGGCCTCCGCACGCCACACACTGAGCTGGTTTTTTTTGTTTTGTTTCATTTTCCTGCCTGTGTGTCTGTGTGTGCGTGTGGATTCGTGGGGTTCTGTACCGTGCGTGTGGGTTTTGTTTTGTTTTGTTTCTTTTTTTTCCTCTGCCTGTCAACGCAGCCTCCGTAAATACGGCGCGGAAGGAGAGAAGTTCAGAATCCTTTTTGTTTGTTTGTTTGTTTGTTCGGTATGTAATACATTTATATTTGGTTGCCCCGCCTTCACCTCTTGAGCGTCTCCGCCGCTCACGGCGATGCCGCAGCATCACTCATTCACACACACACACACACACACAAGCTCACGCACACGCACACAGGCGAGGGCAAAGGCACTCCGACGCCGCGGACTCCAGAGACGAGTTAGTTATGGCTGTTTCTCGCTTTCGTCACACGCACGCCGTCCCCGCGCGGCACGACAAACACTTCATGAACGTCTGCCCCACCGGCGCAATATGGGACTGCAGTAACATGATTGCCTGCAACGACCGCTTTCTGGCGGTGCCGTGGGCGCAGCTTGGCAGCACGGCGGTGCTGCGGCACAGCGACTACGGCAAGCTGGCGGACAGCCCGCCGATACTCTCGGGACAGGAGGGCCCCATCATCGACGTCGCCTTCAACCCGTTTGACGCCACAAAGCTTTTCACGGCCAGCGAGGACGGCAGCATCATGGGGTGGGACATTCCCGAGGAGGGGCTCACGCGGAGCAGCAGCGACCACCTGGTGCACCTGCGGGGGCACGCCAAGAAGGTCGGGATCCTGAGATTCCACCCCGCCGCCCGCAACGTGCTGGCCTCCGCCGGGGCCGACATGGCGGTCAACGTCTGGGACGTCGAGAGCGGCAAGGCGGGGGAGGTGCTCAGGTGCCACACGGACCACATCATGTCGCTTGACTGGAACCTGGACGGCTCCCTGCTCTGCTCCACCTCAAAGGACAAAAAGGTGAATATCATGGACCCTAGGCAAGGCAACATCGTTGCCTCCGGCCCCGCCCACCAGGGCGGCAAGCCCCAACGCTGTCTCTGGGCGAAGCGGAAAGACCTCATCCTGACCGTTGGATTCAACCCGGTACAGTCCCGGCAGGTGATGGTGTGGGACGCCCGCAACATGGTGTCACCCGTGCACACGGAGGACCTGGACCGGGTCAGCTGCGTCATGCTTCCCTTTTTTGACGAGGACACAAACCTTCTCTACGTTGGCAGCCGAGGGGACGGCAGTATTCGCTTCCTCGAGCTGATGAACGGCCGACTCGTGTCATGCGCCGCGTACGACTCGGTGGAGACACATAAGGGGCTCTGCATGTTCCCCAAGTGGTCCCTGGACCCGCGGCAGTGCGAGATTGCCCGCTTCTGCGCGCTCACCTCCAGGTCTGTCTACTCCGTGCACATGCTTCTCCCGCGCAGGCTGGCGGAGAGCGAGCTGCAGACCGACGTGTACCCACCCACCTTCGCAGACACGCCCGCAATCACAGCGGCGGCGTACTTCAGCGGCGAAAACAGTGAGCCACTCGTCACAGACATGCAGGCTGTGTTTGATGGAAAGAGGCGTGAGGCGAAGCGGGCGGCGAAGCCAACGCCGTCGGGTGGCACCCACCTTCAGGCCGCGCCGGCGCGAACGCATCCGTTGAGTGCTGCCCCAGCCAAGCACGCAGACCCCGTGGCGATGGGGCTGGAGCCCGTGCCACCCAAGGAGGATGGGAAGGCCGTGGAGGAGCGATGCACCCGGTTAGTCGCGCTTGCGCTGGAGCTGCAACAGCAGGAGGCGGAGCTGAAGCGGTGCGAGGAGGCGGCCGAAGCGAAGCGGCGGGAAGTCATGGAGACAGTCGCCAAGATTCATGCCATCGCCATGGGGGGATCCCCGTAGCGCCACATTGCAGGTATGCATTTGTATACCTCCGCTCACGCACGCACGCACGCACGCACGCACATGCGGCACTCCGCCTAGTAGTAAAAAGTTCATACGTGAGCAGGCGCCTCTCTCTCTCTCTCGCTCTCTCGCTCTAATCCCCCCACTCCCTCTTTCGCTGCCACCAAGCAAAGTTGCTAGACGACATCTACTACCGCTGCGGTGCTTCCACATCTTTTTCTTTTGGATTGGGCCGCCGCACGAATGAGCTCCGCCCTCGCACAGTCTCGCACTCCTCAAGTGTCGCGTGGCCAGAAAGCAGAAATCAAAGGAAATGAAAAAAAGTATCGGCGATGCGAGGCCGGCCTCAACGGGACGGGCAGAGCAGCTGCAGCGGCAAAACGAAAAAAAAAAGGCCAAAAAATCAGGAGTGGGAGAAACCCACAAAAAAAGAGTACCGAAAATGACATTTATATATATACACACTCACCGAGAATTGCTCGTTTCCTCCTGTGCATTGGGCGCAGTTGGCCCTGCTCCTTCCTCTTCTTCTCCCCGCTGCCTGCGTGTCCCTCCTTGCCGCCCCACCCGAATACATCTTTCCTTCTCCTTTTCGTGCGCTGACCCCCGCACCCGTGGAGAATAGCGGAACCCACCCACTTACTTACATACATAGGTATATCTATATAACTGTATATATTATACGCACCTGCGGCCCGGTAGCCTCCTGCGTACTCTTTGCGGGTACGATGCACAAACTGCTGGCGCCCAGGACGGCGCGCCACGCTCGCCTCTTCCGTCTTGTGAATGGTCTTGCCTCCGCCTCCGCCTCAGCGTCGGCAGCGTCTGCCGCCCCCGCTGGGGTGCCAAAGACGGACGGAGAGCGTTTGATGTGGGTGAACTCGCACGTTAAGCGCGATAAGGACGTTGAGTTGTCTCTCGAGGAGGAAAACCTCCGGGAACGACAAATGCCCCTGGAGCTGGGCGAGCATGCCTTTACCTCCGTCGCCCAGGCGACGCACGGCAGCCTATTCCAGTTCCGCGAATACCCCATGTACCCGGGGGAGTACGTCCCGGCCGAGCACAACACGCTGTCGTCCCTGCGCCACGAGCTGCGGCTGGAGCTCACCGCGCAGTCGCTTAAGGAGGCCTGGATGCGCGTCAGCGGCGGGGTGTATTTTCAGTCGGTGGAGGACTACTACGCGTCGGTGGACGGCCTTGACGCAGAGCAGCTCGGGGAGGTGCTTGCCGCCCTCTTTCCAGAGCTGAGCTCCTACGAGGCCCAGGCGCTCGTGCAGTGCACGCTGGAGTCCATCAGCAAGCCGATGAACACGGCATCGCGGCAGCTGAGCCGCACCATCACGGCGGATGCGGTTGGCCTAGATAATGCGCCTGGCCATTACACAAATTTCTTGGAGTGGATGGGCCGCCTCACAGAGACGCGGGGATTCAAGACGGAGCATGCCCTCTTCCAGTTCAGCCGCCGGAAGTTTAATAGAGATGACGTCCGTGTCATGTTTGAGAACTACAAACTTATGAGCCGGGCGACGCTTCTCGCCGACAGCGCCGACAGCTACAGTCACTTTTACACGGTGCTGAAGGACTTTGCGCGGAAGGTGGCCGGCGAGGACTCCCGCCACCAGATTGGCGTGCGCATCGACGAGCCGGAGGTGGATGCGGAGACCGGCATTGCCGTCGGCCGCGGCTGCGCGGATGGGGAGAAGTATCAATTCACCGCCCTCCTGCGTGAGAACCGCGACCGCAACGGCGCCATCACCATCATGGGCAAGCCGTTGGCCCTCGTGCTGGACAACAAGGCCTGGCTGATGGAGATGCTGCTCATGCCCTTTGACGAGGCGAACTTGGACTACAGAGACTTCGACGTGCACATAGTGACAGAGGGGCACGCGATGCCTTCGATCGCCAACGAAATCGCGGCGTTTGCGCTGCGCATGTCGATCGCCAACGCCCTTGTGAAACTTATGCCGCTCACACGCATTCCGCTAAAGAAGTCCGGCCTGCTTTCCGTCGACCGGCGCCGCGAGAGGGGCCAGTTCCCCGGATTTCTGGACGGAAAGCGGGTCAAGCGAAAGTTCGCCAAACGTTAGCGACGACGACGCTGTGCCTGCTGCAGCGAGCGGCGGGGGAAAAGAAGCACATGCGAGATGTGCTGGCTTCCGTGACGCAAGACTTGAGGTGCTTGGCTGTTTCAGGGCTGTGAGTTTTTATGCTTACCGTGCCCCCCCCCCACTACCACCAACATTTTTGTTGTTTTCGTTGTTTTTGTTGTTTGTTTGTTTGTTTGTTTGTTTGTTTGCATGTCCCTGCCAACATCTCTTCTTTATCCCCTTCCCTCCGCCGGCCCTGTGGCCGATCTCTGGCAGGCAGGGGACTAGAAAGGAATGCTGCTGCTGCTCCTCGCGGCGATCATTTGGGGGACAACCAATCCGCTGCTGAAGCGCTACAGCAGCGGCATGGCCGCCGGGTCCTCGTTTGTGGAGGATCTCCGCTTCCTTGCGGCGCGGCCCAAGTATCTGGCAACGCAGCTCGTCAACCTCAGTGGCTCGGTCTTCTTCCTCGCCGGGCTGCGTCACGTCGACGTGGCGGTTGGCAGCATGGTCGCCAACGCCCTGGCGTTTGTGCTCACCGTGCTGCTGAGCGCCTTTGTGCTGCGGGAGGGCCCGCTGCGGCCGACGACGCTGCTGGGCTGCGTCCTGGTGGTGGCGGGCACGACGCTCTGCGGACTTGCCTCCTCCTCCTCCTCCTCGCACGGCTGAGGGGGGCAAACCGGGCGGGCGCGAGAAGGCAGAGGCGGAGAGGGCGGAGAAGAGGCCACCACAGCGGCGACCTCCCTCCCGCCGCGAGGCGGAGGTGGAGAGACGAAAGCGTTGATGACTTTGCCGTCGCTTCTTTGCGTTTTCTTTTTCGTCTTCCCTTTCTCCCTCTTTGTGGCACCCACGCCGTGTTTGCGTGGGAACGCCCACGCACGCACACACACAAACGAAGATGATAATTCATGAAGCGCATCGTTGCACCGAGGCGTTGGTCGCACGCAAACCGCGTGGAGCACCCGCCGCTCATGATGAAGCAGCTCTTCCAGGGCGTCTGCGGGGGGCTGCGGTGGCTGGAGGTGAAGGAGCTCGCTGAGCACGTGGCGACGCGGGCGATTGAGGACGGCTACCCAAGCACCAGCGGCATGCGCCAGGCGCTTCAGGCGAGGCTGGCCCCGCGGAAACGGCGTCGACAGGCGCGGGAGGAGCTGCGCAGCGCGGCGGCCGCCCTCCCGCTGACGTCCTCCCAAGACGCGCTGACAGTGACGGGAGGCCTCTCGCTGCGGGTCACCAAACCGAAGCGGGCGGTGCTGTACGACGTCTTGGACTGCACCCTCGGCGGCGGATTTCACGCAGGGGCGGTGCTCGAGAACGGAGGGCCCTACACGCGCGTCGTCGCCCTGGACTGCGACCACGACGCCATGCAGACTGCCGCGGAGTTGGCTGACGAGTTCGGCGCCGACCGGTTTAAGTTTTTCTGCTGCAAGATGTCGGAGGCAAAGTCGCTTTTCGGCGAACGCTCCTTCGACGCGGTCATGATTGACGCAGGCCCCTCCGAGACGCAGCTGGAGGACCCGGAGCGCGGATTTCTTCTTGACGACGAAGGCGCTCACCACCTGGACATGCGCTACGGGCCACAGACGGGGCTTGGCGCCCTTGCGTACCTCAACACGGCGCCGCAGCACGCCCTGGCCGCCGCGTTGCGGGCCTACGGCCTACTCACCCCGGAGCAGGCAATGAAACTGGCACGCGAGGTGCGGCGCCGGCGACCCTTCGCCTCTTCGCAGGAAGTGCTTCGCTGCGCAGAGCAGGCTGGCGATGTGCTGCCTGAGGAGGGCTGGAGAACGCAGAGCAGTCGACGCAAAACACCCATGTCGTGGAAGTTTCTTACGACGCTGCGCTGCATTGTGAACAATGAAATGTGCGAGCTGCGGGAGGCCCTTGAGAACGCGCTGCAGCTGCTGCGCGATGACGGCCGTCTTGTCGCATTCTCCCGTCTCGAGTGGGAGGAACGCCTTATTCGGAGCACCGTTGAAAGCCACCCCCACGCGCTCTTGTGCTACACGGAGGATGTGCCCGCGGAGGAAGTGTGTGACCACGGCTTCACACGGCACACAAAGATGTGGGTTGCTGCACGCACCGCCAAATCCTCCTACGCGCTGAAAAACGCCGCTTCCCTCACAGAGGCCCAAGTGGAGGCGAGTTCCCTGCGGTGGCTGGGCGGCATGTACGCCGGTCAGACGTACGGCTTCCCCGCGAACAACTTCACTTTCGAAGGCGAGGAGCCGCGGGAGCGGCGCACGCGGGAGCGGAACAGCAGGCCCCCGCCGCTGGACTACGGGCTGGACGACAAGTAGCCGCCGCCCGCCTCGTCGACAGTGCTCACGCTGGGCCCTCACAAACGCCTGGCGGACCGCACGCCCACGGCGCTGCCCAACCGTCGCTGTGGGCTTCTCGTTTGGGCGACGCTCCACCGCGTTGCCTCCGCCGGACTGTCGCTTTTCCCGCTCTCCACGTGCATGGCGTGTGCGCTGCTCCCCGCTGCCGCACCTGCGTCATCGCCTCTGCCTGTGTTTGCTCCTCTTCTTACTTCTCTCTTTGCGCACACACAGGGAAAGAGAGACCAAACGCTACTTTTCTGCTGTGCGCTTTGAAGGCTCTGCAGCTACCACTACCGTCAACACACACACACACACACACACACACACACACGCAACCGTCGCGGCCTGGGAGGATCGACCGCAAGGAGGGAAGAGAGAGAGAGTGTGTGTGGGCAGCAGCACGACATGCCGCGACACCTGTTTCCCTTTGCGATGCTGCCGCTCCTTCTTTGCGCACTGATGTGCTGCGGCAGCAGTGGGGCTGGGACCAGCGTTGAAGGAGCGCGGAAAGAGTCGAAGGAGGTTGAGCTCTTCAAACAGGGGGAAACTCCAGTGCTTGCCGCTGGGGAAACGAGCGACAAAGGCCGTTATCAAGGTGTCTCCTCATTCTTCAGCCACTCCCTTCTTGACGTGAATGGGGTGCTGGTTGCTCTTGCCGTCGGCAAACACAACGGCACTCAGCAAAGCATGGGTTTTGACACTTGGGCAAAATCCAATGCGTACGGAGCAGACGAAAAGTTGAAGGAAGACGCTACATGGGCGAAACAAGAGTGGAAGACGCAGCGTGTGACAAAACAACTGGACGAAGGGAACCAGCGCGCATCGCTGTTTGGCCCGAAGGCTCTGGTGAAGGACAGTAAAATATATCTGCTTTTGCCAACAGTGGCGATGACCGGGAGTCATGCGGCTGCAGATGTCTGGGACCTTGCGCTGATCGTTGGTGAGGCGGCAGAGCAAGGAAGGAAAGCAGTCGCGTGGAGGGAACCCCGATTGTTGAAGTCGACGCTTGTCAAAGAAGGGCAGCAGCTTTCATGGAGGGAGCTGTACGCTGTCGGTGGCGCCAGAGGCGTTGCGGTTGGGGCAGCGACGATTCTCTTCCCTCTTGCGGGAACCACCAACGACGGAACAGGCACACTTGCCTGCACCGTCGTCTACTCCGACGACAATGGGAGTAGCTGGAAAGTTCATGCGGCACCCGTGCGTCCCAAGGACTGTGACAGTGCCACGCTTCTCGAGTGGGCGGGAAAACTTTTCATGGTCACCTCCGGATCTTATTCGTGGCATGGCAAGGTGTACGGATCCAGTGACAAGGGGAAGACGTGGAACGAGGCTGCCGGGCCCTTCGCACGCCTGTTGGGCGACGCATACGTGTTGTCAATGGACCACGGTGGTTCCGACCTCATCACTGCAACCATTGCGGGCACTAGTGTGCTGCTGTACACGCAGGTGTCGTTGAGTCTTTATGCGCCAGAAGGAAGCAGCGGAAGAGGCACGTTCCGCAAGGCAATCAAGCTGTGGCTCTCCGACGGTGTCCG